AAAAACTAAAAAGCACGTCTCCTTATCAATAGCAATCGAAATGCTTTTTGAATAATTGAAATCAGTTGAACCGTGTTCCCGAAATCGTCAACAAAAATTTGTATCCGCACACACAACACATACACGCACACACACACACACACATCAATTTTTCTAAAGTATGCCAAAATGTTCAGAAGGTTTTGAAAGTAAAGATATATAACAATTTTCATTTTCTATTTTTTTGCGATTACTATAACTTACCCTACGGGAAGTTAATAAAGACAGAAAATTTAATTTATATATTTTATATAAAAACATAAAATACAAACATAAGTAGATAATACAAATAAATGTCTTTCAAGCCACTCCAACATAAATATATATAAGTGTAATAAATAATCTACATATATAATGATTATAATGTCTTAGTAGAGATTTTATCTAAATTTGTAAAATTTTTTATACTCACAATCGTGTCTTTTTACAGAAGATACTTTAATAACATTCTATAATTATTATCTCAATTATACATCACACAAAAAAATGAGTTTAACCAGATTGTCATGAATTGAAATTATGGATAAAAATTGCATGAACTAAATGTATTGAATTATTCAAATGTTTATATATTATATTTAGTATTTAGGAATATACATTCGTGGTCACATTACAAAACATTGATAGAAATGCACAATGTTACAAATGCTATTTTTAGTTATTGTTACATCATAACATATATACATATATATGTATATATAATGTATTGGTACAGGATCAGATATCTCTCTATTAACATACAACTAAACTGATAGGAAGTCAATTGATTAAATTTGAATGATTGACATTTTAGCACCACATCTATGATTTTCTACACAAAAACATGTGTTTTTGATTTTATTGATTTTTTGCCTAATTTGGTTAAAATTTGATGTCCAATAGCATTATTATTGATAACATTTTTGATTAAAAGACATATGTAAATTTATTTCTAAATAGGTACAATTGTAGCGCTTCAAAAATCATGACATTAAAAAAAACCATGAAATTATTTAAACAAATATTCATAACAATCAAAAATGTCCAAAATTGACCTTGTATAAAATTCAACCAGTGAAATGGTAATTTGTTATCAGTAATTAGTTTTTCATATCATTAATAAAAATGGTAAAAGTGATAATAATAAATTTTAATTATTAATGTATTAATTAATTTCTTATTGCACCTAATAATCTACTGAAATGTACAAGAAATTGATTTTGAAACTTTAAATTGCCATTTTTTAATATTTAATCAGTATGATGACAAATATTATATACCATGATAAATAAAATGTATTTATTTTGACTATTTTAAAATAAATTAATTGCACTGAATATTGTGCAAAAATTTAATTTTACTTCAAAATACATGAAGAACTAACTACATATTAATTACTCATTTAAAATTTTGGAACATGAATTAATTTTAAAATTTTGGGACTAGTTCGTACGCATTTCAATAAATTCAATCTTGATGGTAAAAAGTTTTGAAGCGCTCTATAATCAATTTACTTACAGATAGATTATTTATAATAAATTAACAAAGTATACTTATTTAAATATTATACTAATTTTTTGTTAATTCTAATATTGATTTATTAAAATTATTCAGTCTGTTTTTTCTAAGATTTTTGCGATTTATTAAACTTTTCATCGCCTAATCATTTCATATATATTATCTGAATCTTAATATTGTATTATCATCAAAAAAATATAATATGCCCCTCTAAAAAAAACATTAAAAACAAAATGTAAATTCATGATCAATATTATCAAATAATGAAATGATTTGAAGAAATTTTTGCTTTCAAAATATAACTATATATATTACATCATTTATGGTAGATAGATTCTAATTATCATGAAAATGTGATGAGGGGCAATACAATCAATACAATTTCCAGTAACCCTGTTTTTTTTCATAAACATAAAAATATACATCAACAATCGAATTCTTAAATTTTACTTATATAAGCTTTAAGCTCTTGTGGAATGATATGCCATACACATAAACATTATCCGTTAAATAACTAATATATTTATAAATATTATCATTTGAACCAAAACTACCAAAATTTGGCCAACAAGTTGATCATATCACGACAAATCATATCTAGCTAATAAATTGTCTAATTAACTCTTCTTTAATTCTATTTATCCTACTATTAATATTGCGCACATTATCATGCTTATTTGTTTCATCGTCCAATATCATATAAATAATGAACACTTTTAAATAAATGCTTTGTAATAAATAGAATCTTCATAATAAATAATTTTATAATAATTTAATATAATATTTTTCTAATATCCAATGATTTTTATTGAGCATGCAAATTCTGTTAAACACCTTTATTAATATCTCACACTTTAGATCTAATAAAATGAATATTTTAATAGATCAAATAGTCAAATGGTATGGAAATAGTTTTTTAAATATATTTGTGGAATCGTTCTTAAAAAGTCAGTAGTGGCATTTTGTACATATTATTTTTTTATTCCATTAGTTAGGATTATATTTTCATCATATAGTCCAAATCTTCAAATGCTTAGTCATAATATAAACTTTATTATTGTTGAATTAACAAAAAAAACAACTAATTTCTAATCCAAAAATTATTAATATCTTGTATGAATAAAAATGATAATATTAAAAATAAATATCAATGACGTTGAAAAGTATAAATATGTATAGTATGTATATAATCTTAAAACTAGTCGTGAAGCCAAATTGCTGGAACTTCCCATACCGTAATTAAATATTGGAGGAATATTAAACGTTTTAAATAACTTATATATGTTTGCAGAACTTAAACAAAACTTAATCAATCGGTATTGTTTAATATTTATATGAATTATATAAGCTGAATTGCAGAGTTAAAATTAATTATTTTGAGTATATTATTGAGCTTTAGAACTTTAGCTAGAAAAACAATTAATATTTGATTTATTTTCGATATTCAAAAAAAAATTTTTTTCAAAAGCAAGTGTTCTGTCAACACAAGCAGAAAGTTTTTTGAATCATTCAATTTCAGATGCTTATTTCTCTCAAAAACTGCCATTTTGTGTTTATTTAGCTCTGTATCTTCGAAATAGCCGGGCCTGCTTTGCCAAAAACTAATAGCCATTTCTCCCAATCATTACTAATTGAATGTTTTTAGATCATTCAAATCGTATGCTCCGTTCTCTCAAAAAACGATTTCTATTTTCTGCACTCTTTGCTCTTTTATCTCCATATCGGCTGGATCTGCCATTGCCAAAATCTAATCAGCAGATCTCCCTATCAATAGGAATCGAATGTTTTTTGAACCATTCAACAATCGGTTGATCAGTGCGCCCGAAAACGTGGACGAAACATTGTATCCATACATACATACATACACCACACACACACACACATGAGGTATGCCAAAATGTTCAGAAACCTTCAAAACGTAAATAAATTGTAAAAATTTTCAATTTCGATTTTGGACGAACAATAACTTACCCTCCGGGATGTTAATATGATGAATTTATAATAATATTATGAAGAAATGGCTGAGCGTATGACTAATGGAATAGAAAAAATAATTTAATTGAGTATTATTTTTTATAGAATTTAATTGTCGAATCTCACGAGTTTGCCACTTATTTAAAAAATTAAAAATTATTTATGTATCTTTATATTTAGATTCAATTGAAACCTCAAGATCAGATAAAATACCCTACAATTTAAATCTTCCAACATTCTAAAGAACTACATAAATACCTCTAATCTCAATTATCATCTTCACACTTCGGTATATCAAAAATCTCAGCAAAAAGCGGTGGCAATCTTAAATTTGTCCAGTTTCCCCTAAACCAATCCAGATGCGAATTATGTCTCGATCCAAGAACTCTTAATTCTGGTAATTTGGCCTCTAAAATTGGCAAGAGAGGACTCAGTTCTCCTGGTCTGGTCCTGGATATCTGCACTCTTAGTGCTTCAGTGAGACGTTCCCGTACCCTTGTGACTGATTTGTGGACGCTAATTCCGGCCCTGTCTGGGGCGATCAGAACTAACGATGAGAAAAGTCCTAGTTCAGTCTCACTTAGACCCAGGGCATTCAGAGAATTCGTAAAACGAAGCAGGGCCGTGACAAACTCGTTCTGGAAATATAATAACTAAATAAAATGTAATAAAGAAATAAATAGATAATGATAGAAAATGTAGTTTGAAAATTCATAAAAAAATTATAAAATATATTCGCCCAACGTGGGGCTCGAACCCACGACCCTGAGATTAAGAGTCTCATGCTCTACCGACTGAGCTAGCCGGGCTTGGTGAAAACAGACCTCTAGACATTAGAGTATACTCATAAGATTAAATTATCCTTGCTATCCTTAGAAATTCGTTTCGTAGGCCTATAATATTTTATTGTTCAATTAGACCCTGAACCTTGAAATTATGCAAAGTATCATTAAAATCGTCAAAAAAGATTTTCAACAAAATCTAAGGGGGCGTTCATTAATCACGAGTCGTTTTTAAGGAGAAAAGAGGGGTTCGACAAAAAATCACAAAATATCATGTGGGAAGAAAGGGGTATAGTAAGATATCACGTGTATTTATTTCTTACCTGAATTTAAAAAAAATCCAAATGTTTTCAAAATAAATCAAAAATTTTACCATTTTTACTCGTAACTAAAAATATGCGTGATGTTTGGTAGGGAGAGCGAGGGAGGAGGTAATTTTAAATATCACCACGTATCACCAAGTGGGAGAAAGGATCCAAAAATTGTTAAAAATCAATCACGTGATTAATGGACGCCCCCGAATCAGGACGATTCATAACTAATCAGTTTTTGAATTTAGCAAAAACGATGGCGAAAAATTTTGCTAATGTGATAAGTATCGGCCAATTGTCGAGTAAATTAACGCAATTACTTATAAAGTTTCATCATAAGACTTTTAAATTTTTGAATTCGATGCAACCGAATTTGAGAAAATACTAAGGTGAATTTTTAGCGGCAAACGATTTAGGAACGACTTGAAGCTCAAAAAAAGTTGGAAAATCGGTTAAAACAAATTTCTCTTTTGGAGAGTTAAAGTATTATTACAACGACTTATTGATTGAAACCAACATGGTTTAGTTATTATTAATAATTATTTCGAAATATTTATAAATAAAATCAGAAAATTAGTAAATATTTTTGTATTTATGTGAATTAACTTACTACATGAGGTTGGTTATAAGGTCCTGTGGCGCAACGGATAACGCGTCTGACTACGGATCAGAAGATTCCAGGTTCGAATCCTGGCAGGATCGCAAATATTTTGCCAATTAATATATAAATATATATAATACAATTTCATATAAATTATATGATTGTTTAAAATAATCCTAATAAAATTAACTTTCATTTTTTATCAAAATCAAATTCAAATGAGCAATATTAGTTTCATTGGACGTTTTCTTGCTTTAATAAAATTATCATCATAAAAGTATATTTTTGAATTTAATATAATTTAACAAAATCGTGCTCATATATTTTTTAGCCGTAAACAAACTAGTTGTACTAACATTAATAGTATCAACAAAAATACCGAACGAAACTTTGTGAACTGATTAAATTCGCATTATCATTTTAAATGCATACATGAGGTCAAATAATTCTGATACTCTTGATTTTGCAACGATTGCAATATTTGTCGTAGAAGTATATATTTGAATAAAATCTCTATTTTAACAAACGTCAAAAAAAAAAACTACTCATATTCTCAAACACTGATGCATTTTTTAAATTAAACTCCTTGTCGTAAGGCCTTAATATTACAGTAAGTTCTATAAGACCATGATATACATCGCCAAAAAAAGTACCATAAAATCGGCTTAAATTTTTTTCAACAGTTAATTACAAGAAAACGACTCGTTATATTTTCACCTAAAACTGATCAGTATCATTTCAAACTAATATCTTTCGAATAGTTTTTGATTTTTAAAATCGATTCGGTAGTATGAGCTTAAATGTGGTCGAAAAGTTTAACACTTTTCCCAAATTACAAAAAAACGGCTCGACCGATCGTTGCACAAAACTGAGCAACGATAATCCTCATTGAGATACATCAAATGATCGCAAAATCTTTTTATATAAGATAAATCTAATAAATATTATGCACTTACATCATAAATAATTTCTAACTGTTGCCTCGTGAAATATGTTCCATCATCAAACATCAATGCAGAATCTGAAGTCGTTCTTGAAACGTGAGACAACCACACCTAGAAAGTTAGAAAATGTAATTAATAAAACCTTTAACATACTATTCAAAGTTAAATACGTATTTCTTTTTATTAAACAAGAATAAATTTTCAATCTGGGTTTTGAATCAGAGTATTTATATTTTAATTCTAGTTGCTGAACTTTTAACCCACCTCAAAAAATCCAAGTTTGATAAGTATCAGCTGATCGTCCTGCATGAGATCACAAAACCCAGGGACTCTTTTGGCAAATTCCACTACTCTCTGCACAGCTGGCGTCATCCTGGATGCAAATTGCTGCCATAACCATACACGCTGATGAAGTAAAATTGCTTCTGAACTAGTTGGTGCAGTCTGGGTAAAAGATAAAATATTAAAATAAACTAGAAAATTTACAGTTTAGCTTAATTGATTATTTAAATATTAAAAGCTTTAAATTACCTCACATTCTTCCGAAATTGTACTGGCTTGACCAACAGGCCTTTGACCAGGGTCCGAATCGTTTCTTCAGTGTAACTACAATGGGTCCTGTGAGCTTGACCCACGCAAGCTATAATATCGTAAGGGGATGGTTCGGAGGTACAACTTAGCAGAACTTCTGTTTCTTGTATCTGTAATACAGAAAAGTTTAGAAATTTAAAAACAAAATGGGTAAATAAATCGCAAAAAAAATAAATTTAAAAATAATTATTTTCTGTAATTTCTAGTAAACCGTCAAGCTAATTCCAGTGAGAAATTGAAAATGTGACTTTATTTGTTCAAAACAAATATTTAACCTAAATGTTAAATTGATACTCTGTATGTGTGTCACGTGGTTATGAAATTTATTAATATTCTCCTTAGTTAACTCAGGTTGTTGGGTTATAATTTAACCATTGTAGCTGTGGACTGTATTAAACACTGATTTGTTTGTATACACATAAGTTTGGTGCAGTTCCTATTACCATCACTGATTTGTTACTAAGATATAAGTGAAGAAGATATATTTATTTTCATTATTTATTATACATGTTGTTTTGCGGACTTTACTTAGAAGTGAACAATTAGTTCCTATCTAACCCTCCGCTACTCCTTCTACCACGGGTAGCAACCATCCCGTAAAAAAGCTCAATGCCATGAAGATTGTCACCTTCATGGCTAAATAATAAAAGTAAAACTATACTTACAGTACTTCAAAATTTTCTGATTACTAACCTGTGTTTTTGGTCATCGGAGGCGAAGTCAAAGATCTCGGGGGCGTCAAACTTGGGGGTGCAACTACTATGGAGCCCCTACTCGTCTCATCGACAATTTGTTGGCAAACATCTCTCGAACGCTTAGGAACGCGTCCGTACCTAACAGCTGTAAAATAGAAAAAATATAAATTAATTAAATACATTTATTACTTTGTTTTGAAACATTCACGAATAATCAGCGTAAACCAAACATGATAATTCAACAAATTGCCAGTTGTTTTGAAATATGTAGAAACAAAAAGCTAGTATCGTATGCGTATGAATATCGAAGAACTCCTAATTAAGAACTAACTAAATTACTAATTAACTAACCCATTACTCTAGCAATAAATCAAATACATTCAATATTAAATAGTAAACTGTTATGTGGCAAGCATTAACTTATCTCACTTAAATGAAAAACAAATTATATACATTTTCCAATTAGATAGAAATAAATTAATGTTCAACCATTTCTTTACAAATAACTTGTTTGTAAATGTTGATGTACTTAAAACACACTTGAGTCATTGATACATTGTGGTAATAACTTTAGATTGAATTGGATATTATTAATTATATTGCATGGTGGTTTTGTTTTTGAATTTTTTTTTACTTATTCGAGTAAAAAGTATAAATAGTACACCACCAGAAATAAAAGATTAAGCTAAGGTACTCTGAAATAAAATTCGATCCTGCCAGGATTCGAACCTGGAATCTTCTGATCCGTAGTCAGACGCGTTATCCGTTGCGCCACAGGACCACATGAAGACAAGATTACTTTCACAAGCACAGATTTATAAAGGTATGTCTTATAGCTATGGTTCCCAAACTATTTGTTCTGAATTACTCGTTCCTTTTTTAAAAAAAATGTTTGCAACCTTTTCTATGTTTCAAAGAATCTAGTTTCAGAAATACTCAACTAAATGCTTTCGGACCCTCAAACGTAACCCTAGATTATTATGTTCAATTAGACCCTGAATCTTATAAATATGCAAAGTATCATTAAAATCGTCAAAAGAAATTTTCAACAAAATCTAATCAAGACGATATCTAACTAATCAGTTTTGAATTTTCAAAATCGATATAGAAAATTTAGAAAACGATGGCGAAAAATTTTGCTAATATGATAAGTCGGCTAATAATCAAGTAAATCTAATTAACGCAATTTCTTATGAAGTTTTATCACAAGAATTGTAAAGCTTCCAAATTTTTGAAATCGATGCAACCGAATTCGAAAAATTCACACACACACGAATTTATAAAGGTATGTGTTTTAGTTGATGTTCACAACTTATTTGTACTGCATTTCATCGCATTTTTTTAAATGTTTGCAATGTCTATCATTTTTCTAACAATCTAGTTTCAGAAATACTCACTGATACTATAATTTAATTAACTACTAAACAAAAATATTTATTAATTTTATATAAACATTCTTGCGATTTGCGATTCGCTTGCATTGCTATAAATATTTCAATTAAATTAATAAAATTAAAGCTTTCTTTACCTAGCTAGCTTTTCTTTCAATTAAATTTCTAATATAAACAATTATTTATATATTGATGTGTTTGTTTTATTAAAAATAACGAAGGACAGAAAAGATTATAATCAAGCCATGTAAAATTGCACTATATTATAACATTTTAAAACTTTTTTTTCATCTAAATATTTAAAAAATATATATTTACAACAAGGCTCCGGCGAGATTCGAACTCGCGATCTCCTGTTTACTAGACAGGCGCTTTAACCAACTAAGCCACGGCGCCACATAGAAACCGCTCACAAACGCAAGTCACGTTCTATTTGCATTTAAAATTTATTCGAATTTACAGAATTAATTATATGAAATATATTATTTGATTAATGATGTTTTATCGAACACAAATTAAAGTAAATAAATCGACATTTACATGATACATAATGTATGATCAGCTGGAGTGATTGTGGAGAAAATCGGATCAGATGGAGATTTATACATATCCCATATGGTCTAGTGGCTAGGATACCTGGCTTTCACCCAGGAGGCTCGGGTTCGATTCCCGGTATGGGAAATATTTTAGTATTTGAGGAAATAATTTAATGCACTAGCTTTGATTTGAAGTTTTTACTGTGAACGAGATTTGTTTACAAACAAAATCTACATTAGTTATAAAACATGATGAAAAGAAAATTTTAGTAACTAAGTAATTTTACATAACTACAACATTAAGGGGCCGATTCTGCCGTAAAATAGACCACTGTTATGGCAAGGCTATGTTACGTAAAACTTTTCATATAAAATTTATACTAGCGTGAATAATATTGTAAGAGTATGTATATGATATTTCACATATTATAAAATTCGTATGAAATAAATTTACCCGACGGATCCAAAGAGGATTGACAAGAATGTAAGTGTGACAGGAGAATTTATTGGGGACCTTTCGGACCCTCCAAAAATTGCCATAGCCCACGGTATTTCACGTGGTCTCGGCGGGGTATTGGTAAAAGTTTTCAACTAGCAATAATCGCACCTCGGATGAACCTCATTGGTTACGATATCGCCACTGCGCAAAGCTAACGAACAGGTAAGGGCAGGTTTATTATATCCTAAGACCGACAGTACAACGCAGCGCGTATTACGGACCCTACGACCCTAACACGCAAATGCTTACCGCCATCTTACCGCCTTATTCCAAATTGAACAAAAATAATAAAGTGGAATCAATAATCTGGTCAACTTTATATACAAAGATTAGTATCTAGTAGTAGATACATATATAACAAATCTGATTTGCTCGTTAAAACATAAACTCCTACTTCAAAGTGATATACGAGTATCTTTAAAACAGCTGAGGAGAAAAGTATTGATACATTTTTTGTAGATTATTATGCTTTACAATCCTGTCTTATGTTAGGCAATTTTGCGATGAAACTGACTGAAAATCGCAAAAAAAAATCTTATTTTTGACTTTTGACCTTGTGCCAATCTTTTAGTTCGCACCGGAACGATGAGGACTTTTGAGATTACTTTTATAATTGTACTTCAAACAATTTTACGAAGTCACAGCCCATTATAAATTATTGTAACCTTCACCCTAATTTTAGGTTTAAATTGACCGGGCTAAATAACTCTTGGGGAAGTTAGGGATTAGTTAGTATTAGACTCTGATAATAAACAAATGCAAACATCTTATTCAGATTATGAATAGAGAAGTATGGTTGATATAATAATTTATCATAAGATTAACAATCTAAATATAATAAAAAAATACTTACAATCTCTGCTCATCCCGACTTGCAAGCACTTTTTAAAACGGCAATATTGGCAACGATTTCTATTTAATCGAATCACAAGACACTTGCCGTCTCTTAAGCAACGATATTCTATTTGTTTTTGAATGCTCCTACGAAAAAATCCCTGAAATTAAAAAAATATATAATTAATTAATCACATTATAACACAGCTTTATAAATGCTAATGATGATTTCGGATAAACAGTAAGGATGGTTACAAATCCGTATGAGGCGACTGGTGATTGGTAACACAACACTTTATATGTTAGCCAAAAACTTTAATGTTATCTTATATAAAAATTGTTTGAGTATCTCTTTAATGTATGAACTGCATAACATCAGTACAAAGCAATAGGAAACAACTTCAATATTAATTGGTAAAATAGTATCAAGATATCAATGCTCCAAAAGTTAAAAGTAAATTAAAAATTAATTGATACTAACCTTACAACCTTCGCAACTCGTTACACCGTAATGATAACCTGAGGCCTTATCTCCGCAAACTTTACAAGGTACAAATGATTTTGTTGGTCCCACGCAATTTCCTCCTGTTTCTGCAGATGAAAATTGTTCTGGAAAGTTAAGAATAGTACATAGAATGCAGATATTTTTAATCTTGCAGAGAATTTGCAATTATTTTTTTTATGACGTTATAAATTTATCCAACTGGAACTATCTGAAGCAAGAGCGACAACAATTGCTAAAATATAAAAAGTATTACACGAGTACTATAACAGCAATTATTTTATTTGCTTTTAATAAAGAATACTTTTGCAAAAATATGAAAAAAAATTCAAAAATTATAGTTTTATATTTGATTAAATTTTTAATTGTGCAGCTGAATTAGAAATAAGAAAAATATCAATGTGAATAGATTATTAATTACTGAATAACAAAAATAATACTAAATACAAAATATTTAACGTGAATATTAATCAAAATTTGGATGTTGTTAAAATAGTACTTTAATTAATATATGCATTTATAATATATATTCTGTCATGCTGAGGTAATTAATGCCCCTTATTCATTGCACGATTAAAGTCAGTACTATGTTGTGGCCCTTTTCTTAAAATACCTTATATAAAGCAGAAAACACCAATTATAATAAAATTATTTTTGCTAGTTTTATCAAAACCAGCGGTCGGGAAACTTTTCCAATCATTGCCTCAAAATATTTTTGTGTAAGTTAATATTACCCCATAGTAAAGAAAATAAAACAAAATCGTTTCATTTTAGCATCTAAGGATAATTTTAAAAAGAAAACATTAACTAAAAATTTAATTTAAACATTTATTCAATTGAGTAACTTAACTAACCAATACTTCTAACGGGCATATAAAACAACAAATTAAAAATATACTTTTTACACACAAAAATTTCATTTTTACCAGAATTGATTTACCCTGTTCCCCAACCGCTGATCTATACCAAACCAAAAAACTAGGATTCTCAAATTTAACTGAAAATTTTTACTTACAAACAATAACTATAAATTTCCTTGTAAAATGTGCAGTTTTGTACAACCATAAAGATTCTATTTTATAAATTCAAAATTAAATGCTAAGTATTATACCCAGTGTCGGTCCTGGAATCCTTAGCGCCCACAAGCAACCTTTTTTCTAGACCCCCCCCCTCCCTCAAAGTTCATCAGATGCGAAACATTTGCAACAAAAACAAAAGTTACAATTCAGTTTTTCGGAATAAACATCCCATTTTCTAAGCACAGGCTCCGCATTTTTTCATTTTCCCGATTATAATTTGTTTAAACTTAATCAGCTTGCAATTTTTCCATCAATAATGCCTAATAATTAATTTAATCTCTCGCAGGTTTGCGCTTATAGAATTGAACAATAGATAATTTCCTTTTCGATTTCCCGGTAACTTCAAACAAAGAAAAAATTGAATAATTAAGCAATAAACAGAGCTGTTAATTACTAATTTGCAGAGTTATTAATCGGCTAGTTGTTTCTACAATATCACATTGCAAAATAAATATGCTTTTTGTGCCTTCGTTTTCCTAGTTAAACTAGACTGTTTATCATAATTCATTAAGTGTTCTAGATTTTATATAAATAATAAAAAATATAATTAATATATTATAAATTTAATTTTCAAAAGTCGTTTTGGCACCCCCTAAGGCTTGCGCTCTCATTTTTTGCATGCATCGCATGCAAGGCAGAACCGGCCCTGATTATACCCATACTGATAATATATTATGAGTGAGTAATATGATACTATATTATGAGTATAGGTCAAAATATATTATGAAAAATTAGTCTTTCGGACTAACTACTTTCGGATCCTATAAAATTGCCATACACAGTTAAACACAAAAAGAAGTGGTAATCTTTTTTTTGAAAGTATTCTTATTCTTTTTATCGCACATTTATATATCAAATTAAAAATATAATTTAGTGATAAATAGTGATAAACAGTAAATATGTAAGAGTAGGATCATGAGAAAGTTGATTCACGGCATATTATATTTCATGTACGGATATGAAATGAAAAAATCATTCGACGAAGATAATGAATGATGTGCCAACAAATTCACACGCAATATGAATTTGCAAAACTTTGAACTAAATAAGACTAAAGAATTCATTGGGGTCCTTTCGGACCCTCCAAAAATTGCCATAGCCCACGGTATTTCACGTGGTCTCGGCGGGGTATTGGTAAAAGTTTTCAACTAGCAATAATCGCACCTCGGATGAACCTCATTGGTTACGATATCGCCACTGCGCAAAGCTGAAGAATCCGACAGGATGAAGGAATTATATCCTTACATGGGCAGGATAGCACAGCGAGTGTTAAGGACCCTTAAGGTCGCGATCGAAAGTTGATGGCGCCAATGCGCCATCTATGCAATTTAAATAAACACTTTCTTATTTGAATTATTTGCAATTTTATAAGTTTTAACGATATTACACAATAAATTAGATTTCAAGTAATAAAATTAATGTGTTATATGAAGTAAGAGATATTTTATCCTAAGCAAAAACGTAAAATGGTTTATGATACTTGTTACTCTAATAATTATACATATACGTAATAACAAATGTAACTCAAGCTAATTTACATCACACGACGGAAAATAAACTTAAATCGATTTCACGACTTATTATATAAAAAGAAAATTGAAAATTAATGATAAATTGTTTTGACTCATATTAGGGAAGTACTAAATCTTTTTTGAATGCAACCATTTTTTTGACTGAAGACTTCATGTACTACAAAGAAAATAAATTTCTGGTCCACCCATTGTCTATAAGGAATGTCTATAAATTTACTATTAATATATTGTTACTTGTTGGAGTGCATGATTGTTAAAATAGCTAAAATTAACGACCCATGTTGCATATTTCGTGTTAATGTTGCATGCCTCAAGGAATTTTCAACCGAGTTATTTTCTTTACCGGTTTAAATGGAAAATTACAGAACCGGCATCAGCCGTATCATACTTCCTAGTAACAATAAATCATTCTTAAAAGTGTTTGAGAAAACATATTGGCGTGTTTTTATTTATAATCCCGATGATAAATTATTTGTAAAGTGCAAATAAAAAAAATTAATTTACAAATTAAAAAAAAATTCTCATGTAAGCTGGCAAATAAATTTATTAAGTTAATATGTACTCATAAAAGAGGACATATAATGATTTATTTTATAGAATTAGAAAGCAACTTCTATATTTCTCATACGCGTTTCTTAACAAAATTAGATACTCAAAGCTCGTTAATGGTCTGTGGATTAAAATGATTCATCTTACCATAACTATGTAATCAATAGTTAAACTTATAAGAAAACTAGTTATTAATTTCTTGTACTTCCTAGACTATGTCTGATTATACAAGTGTCTAAGAGCATATCAAATGTACATTGAAATTATGATATACTGCAAATTGCTTTCGCTATTGCACGTTATCAGTAAGAAGATTACTTAATTTGCATTTAATATTTGCAAATGTTAATGTATAATCAGCTGGAATGATTGCGGAGAAAATTTGAATAGATTGAGCGTTTATACATGTCCCATATGGTCTAGTGGCTAGGATACCTGGCTTTCACCCAGGAGGCTCGGGTTCGATTCCCGGTATGGGAATTATTTTGAATATTAAGAAAAATGACGAATTTATATTAAAGACGTGAAAAAATATTATCCATGGAAAGAGTGAAAAGGCATCTCCAAAGTCCCATATGGTCTAGTGGCTAGGATACCTGGCTTTCACCCAGAAGGCTCGGGTTCGATTCCCGGTATGGGAAATATTTTAAATATTAAATAGACTAGCATGGATTATTAACTAATTAGCTCATTTCTTTAATTTTACGAATTTCCCAGTGTTGTCATGTTAATTTTTCGTTATAAAATAGTGTATACTAATTATTTTAGCCTAATTAATAGTAGCTTAGCTTATTATCCTAGCCTAAATTATAGAAAAAATATTACACTAATACAAACCAAATTTATTTCCATTGGCTAAAGCTTCACTAATACTTTGAATTCTATGTTCAAAAATTTACAACGCAATGTGATCTACATAAAACTAAAGAATAAAATAAGGATTCTTACGAACTCTCGAAAATTTACCAAAGTTCAGGGTATTTTACTCAAACTGTAATAACTATAATGATTGAAACCACATTGCAACATAGATAACAACATAGTCTAAATTATAGAGAAATTTTTAATTCATAGCTAAAACAAACCAAATTTATTGCCTTTGACTTAAGCTTCATGAATACTTTGAATTCCATGTTGATAATTCTAGCTACAATACTACGTGAGCTATATAAAACTAAATAATAGAATAATAAATTTTATAAGGATTCTTACAAACCCTCGAAAATTTGCCATAGGCAAGGGCATTTCGCTCAAACTGTTTTAATTATAACGATTGCAACATAGAAATAATGAAAGTTAATTGACAATAGTTAAAATGTTAACAAAATTAAAAATATTTTTAATGACTTAATAAAAAAAAATCTTGCATAAAACTACACTAAAAATTCAAATTCATGGTGTACTAATTAAAATAAAGAAATGTAAAACACATATTTCGACATTACTGTATTGTTAATATTGTTTGCAATGTAAGTTATAAAAATAATAAGGTCCAAATTCAAAAGCTTTTATAAAGATATACATACTTTTATTATTATATTGCTTAGAAGTGTCGTGCGAGCAATAATTTGTCAAAATACTCATTATAAAATTCGCTATCGATATCTCTTGTCATTTTATCTATATTAATGCAAAAATATTTTTTTTAAGTTTTGCATTGTTCAACCGTTGAATTAACTTATTAACTGGAATAAATTTTTGGGAAGGCAGATCCAGCGGTTATGGACTCTTAATAAAAATAAGTTAAAAAAATGTCATTTGGCCGTCAAAAATGTTCATTGGACATATGTACATCAAATTATCAGATATTTTAATAATGTGTACACATTTTGTGTAATTTTTTTTTGGGTTCCGTACCAAGAGTTTTAATTACAGTACGGAAAATTCCAGCAATTTGCCTTAAGGCACGATGCCATGCGCCCCACTAGTTTCTAATCATATTCCCAT